TGGGTAGAGTGCCATGGCATCATAGCTCACAGCAACCTCAAACTCTTGGGCCCAAGTGATTCTCTTGCCTCAGCCTCCTGAGTAGCTGGGACTACAGGTACCTGCCACAACTCCTGACTGTTTTTAGAGACAGGATCTGGCTGACTGTGTCTCAGAGCTGGTCTAAAACTCAGGTGGCACCTGTGGCTCAAAGGAGTATGGCTCTGGCCCCATATGCCAGAGGTGGCATGTTCAAACCCAGCCCCGGCCAAAAACTGCAAATAAATAAATAAAATAAAAAAACAACTCCTGAGCTCAAACAGTCCACCTGCCTCCCTGCCTCAGCCTCCCAGAGTGCTAGAATTACAGGCATGAACTACTGTGCCTAGCTGGCATTCCATTTTTCACAAAGGGGAAGGAACCTCTGGCTGGGGAGAGGCGTGGAGGGCAGTGGTGTGCAGCTGCATGGCAGTAGTTCCAAAGGAAGATGGGTTTCCCATGAGGGTGAAGGCAGACACCTCTGGAAGCAGCCCTTGGAGAGGAAGGAAGGCTGGCTAGGGACCCTGCTGGGCAGGGCCCTCTGCGATGTGACTAAGAGCAGAGACTGTCCAGCAGATCAGGGCAATATCAGCCTTGCAGGGACAGCAGCTCTTACCCAAGTGCCCAGCCCATGCTAAACTTGCCACAGGGAAGATGGGTAAACCTCTGAATCTCCTGCTTACCAGGGGCACCAGGTAAGGGCCGAGTAGGGCAGCAGTGGTGGCAGCACGGTTGGTATCGTCAGGCCCAATCACAGCCACAACCTTGGGGAAATAGTGGAGAAGGTTCTCCTGGATCTCTATGTGGTGTGTGCCTGGCACGGAGAGCACTCGCAGTGTAGCATACACGTTGGCAGACTCGGAACACACATCATACAGCTCATACCCTAGGGTGACATTGGGCAGCAGGGCTGTGGAGTTGTTTATCTCCTCAATGGCAAACCGCATGGCCTGGAAGTGGTGGTAGCCGTGGCCATTGAAGCTGCCGGGCCTGTGGGGAAAGTCAAGAGCTGAGAAGGACAAGGCCCCATTGATACCTCTGGCCTCCTAGACTCCTAGGACTTGTTGGTAGTCATCTGTCCAATCCTCTACCACCATGACCTCAGCGTGGGCCCTGAAACACACCTACAGTTCAGTGGGTGTTAACAGGCCTTTGGAGAGGTGGGAACAAGCTGGAGAAATGCCACAAGCCCTCCACCCTTGGATAAACATATTACCATCAAAAGGCTAACAAAGTCCTAAAGCAGAGAAACCTTCCTCTCAGACTTTCTAGAAAAACAGAATCAGTGGGATGTATGTATCTATGGAGAGAGGTTTAGTGTCAAGAATCCACTTACACAATTTTGGGGGCTAGCAAGTCCAAAACTGGCCAAACACTTTACAGAAGCTGATGTGATGTGATGGGCTTATGCCCCAGGGCAGTCTGGAGGCAGAATTCCCACCTTTTCCAGAGACCTGGTCTTTTAAGGCTTTCAGTGGTTCACACCTGTAATCCTAGCACTCTGGGAGGCTGAGGCTGGTGGATCCCTTGAGCTCAGGAATTTGAGACCTGCCTGAGGAAGAGTGAGACCCCCATCTCTACTAAAAATAGAAAAACTAGCCAGAGTTGTGGCAGGTGCCTGTAGTTCCAGGCACTCAGGAGGCTGAGGCAAGAGGATCCCTTAAACCCAAGAGTGGGAGGTTGCTGTGAGCTATGACGCCACAATACTTCACCCACTGTGAAAGTGAGACTCTGCCTCAAGAAAAAAAAAAAGCTTTTGACTGATTGGATGAAGCCTCCCACATTATAAGGGGCATCTGTTTATGCAGTCTATTGATTTAAAGGTTAATCACAATAAAAACTTCATGGGCTCTGCAAGGTGACTCATGCCTGTAATCCTATCACTCTGGGAGGCCGAGGAGGGTGGATCACCTGAGCTCAGGAGTTCTAGACCAGCCTCAGCAAGAGTGAGACCCCCATCTCTAAAAAAATAGCCGTCTTGTGGCAGGGACCTGTAGTACCAGCTACTTGGAGGCTAAGACAAGAGGATGACATAAGCCCAAGAGTTTGAGGTTGCTGTGAGCTATGACACCATGACATTCTACCAAGGGTAACAAAGTAAGACTCTGTCTCAAAATAAATAAATAAATTTTAAAAAATAGTAAAACTAGCCTGGCATTGTAATGGGTACCTGTAGTTCCCTGCTCCGTGGGAGGGTGAGGCAAGGGGATGGCTTGAGCCCAAGAGTTTGAGGTTGCTGTGAGCCAGGATGTCACGGCACTCTACCCAGAGCACAGAGTGAGACTTTGTCTCAAATAAGTAAATAAATAAAACAAAAACCTTCATGGCAACATTTGGACTAGTATTTGACCAAACAACCCTGGGCACCATAACCTAGACAAGATGACACATAAGGATGGATGTGGTGGCTCACACCTGTAATCCTAGTACTTTGGGAGGCCAAGGAAGGAGGATCACTTGAGGCCTGGAGTTTCAAGATCAGCTTGAGCAACAAAGAGAGATCCTGTCTTTCTACAAGAAAAAAATGGAAAAATTAATCAGGTGTGATGATGCCCACCTGTAGTCCCAGCTACTCAGGAGGTTGAGGCAGGAGGATCCCTAAAGTTTGACATTGCAATGAGCTATGATGATGACACTGCACTCTAGCCCAGGCAATGGGAGAGATCTTGTTTCAAAAAAAAAAAAGAAAAAAATTTTTTAAATTTAAAATGTAAGCACCATACGTGCTTAACCTTGTTTAACTAGTGCTCCTCACCAGGGCACCTGTGAATATGTTGAGGGGCTGGGGGCCTCATCACCCCTACTTTGGGAACTGCTGTCTGGAATGCAACAGGGACATGCTAGCAACATGATTCTGCCCTGTTAAAGAACACGCTGAGCTGCTGCACACCTGTAGTCCCAGCTACTCAGGAGGACTGTCTGAGTCCAGGAGTTTGAAAGCAGCCTGGGCAACAGAGTAAGACCCTTTCTCCCCCTCCCAAAAAAAGCATATTTAAAAGAAGAAAAGATCATCATTCTGGTCTGTTCCATTTTCTAGCCTCTATGCTTGTCCAAAGAGGACAAGTGGATAGAAATGTCCATCACTTCTATCTTTTTTTTTTTTTTTTTTAAGTTTTTGGCCCGGGCTGGGTTTGAACTTGCCACCTCCGGCATATGGGGCTGGCACCCTACTCCTTTGAGCCACAGGCGCCACCCCTCTTCTATCACTTCTGTTCCTAAGCTACTCAGAGGAAGCTTAGTGCCTCCTGCAGGAGACAGTGCTCCTGTTGTCTGCAGCCAGTTTTAATGTCTTCCTCTTCCACCCAACCTCTCTTCCCAGCCCAAGTATTCTTTTCCCAGGCAGCTCTTTAGGCAGGTCTTCATATGCCAGGATTTCCAGAACCTTCCTCCTGGGCCATACCATTGGGTATGCTTCATGTATAGGGCAATATGTAGCCAAGCCCTGAGAACATTCTTAAGCCTCCAGACCTGTGACTCACACAGTCTGCAGTTAACCTCTTCTTTTTTTTAGAGACAGAGTCTCACTTTGTTGCCCTCGGTAGAGTGCTGTGGCATCACAGTTCACAGCAACCTCCAACTCTTGGGCTCAAGCAATTATCCTGCCTCCGCCTCCCAAGTAGCTAGGACTACAAGCACCTGCTACAATGCCTGGCTATTTTTTGGTTGTAGCCGTCATTGTTGTTTGGCAGGCCCAAGCTGGATTCAAACCTGCCAGCTCAGGTGTATGTGGCTGGTGCCTTACCTGCTTGAGCCACAGACGTCGAGCCAAGTTTTTCTATTTTTATTTTATTTATTTATTATTATTATTATTATTATTATTTTGAGACGGAGCCTCAAGCTATCCCCCTGGGTAGAGTGCCATGGCATCACGCTCACAGCAACCTCCAACTCCTGGGCTCCAGCGAGTCTCCT